GTCATGAGAATAAGGGAAATGATCACCAACTAAAGAAGCTATTGATTGTTGAACAAATTCTCCTTGTCAGAACCCTTGTAAATGCTTAAGGAGTTGTATGGGGAGTATGCACACTCATGTTAGGGAGTAAAGGGTAAAAGAAGAAATTTAAAAAGCACATGATTAAGTAGAGCATGCCAAGACTTTTACCATTCATTGTAATTGAGAGACCACCTTTAATTTCATCAGTTTAAGAAAATACTATTTTACAAGTCAAAAATCTACTTGACAGCCAAATAAATTGCTTTACAGTAAGATTACTTAGTTGTAACAGTATGTATATCCACAAATTATTTCAAACCTGGGACCCAATATGTATATGAACTGCTGTTAACCAGGGGCGATCCAAATACCAGCTGATGATTTCTTCTTTTGATGAATCTGTCAGCTGCTCAAAAACAATATTTACAATTTAACATAGATTAATTTTTTCGAGTTGTTACCATCATCACTGGCACAAAATGGCAATGTGATTCTCTTGTGTCTCATGGTCTCTTCATGGATTTTTTTTTTCTCTGAACCCTTTTAATCCAAGAACTGATTGACACATAACAGTAATACAGTTTAAAAATGTATCCATACGATATCCACCAAATAGGTAATACGTATACTCAAACTTCTCAGGTAGTGAGTGTTTTGTTGATCTAACACCAAATTCTCCTACCAAATGTTTAAGGAAATGTGTAGCAACTAGAGAGGAGAAATAATACCAAGTAATCATATCCTGGGAGTTTAGGGGACAACAGTACATCACCAAGAAGATTGATATATGAACTAGTCATATAGCAACACTTCAAGGTTGTGCAGTGCGCTATTCTACATACATTCATATACACCTCAAGAAGTTCATCACCAGAATTATTCAAAGGGGGAAGGGAAAACCCCAATTTCCTACTGTTGTTAAAAAATTATGAAAAATGGTATTCTTCTACAGATGTGTTATATTAATCTTGTTGCATTCACCTGGACTCCAAACTTTGAATCTGCTGTACATGTACTAAATTAAAGAAATTTACAGAACTCAATATCAAATACATTATAGAACAAACATACAAAAAAAAAATAACAAAAGAACAAATCAACAAATCAACCAAACAACATATACACAATGATATTAAACGATTTTGTCAAAGTAATGTTACACAGTCAGCAACATTGATCATAATTATTTACATTTTTCATCTAATTTTAGTCACTAACATGTTGCTCACCTTAGAGCTTTAACAGCACCAACCCCAAGAATAGGTTTCAATCTTATTCCAACTGATGATTTTGTTTGTCTACCACATCAAAGAATACAAAAGGATATATGTCAAGAAAATCTCAATAAATATATAAATTCCACTATTGCATACATTTTCCCTCCAATAAAAGGGCTGTCAAAACAAAAATATTACCATTGGTGGCTCAATTTTCAGCATGGAAGCATGATATTGTGTTGCATACTCTGGATCACAGTCAACTTACTCCTGTCTCTTTGACAGCCTTGTATCCCCCAGCTAGTTCATTTTATTTCTATTAATAATGGCAATAGGACTGAGTGGAGTCCAATTCAGTCTGTAATCGTACAAGTAATAATTAAAAGTTGGACAACCACAAAGTGGGAGTCTGATTTGTCAGTCATGAGCATGATTACAGAGTGACAGAATTGGAAGACACAAAGTCCTGTCACCATTTAATCATAACCATAACAATTTTCCAAGAAACAAATACATCTACAACAAATATCTCCAAAAGAGATATTGTTTAAAGTTAAAAATTCCTCCATTTTGGAAATTCCCCACTTTTTCTAAGGATAAATGGTTGTTGCTACGGTTATTGTGATCAATTCTGTGATTGGTGGGTTTAGCTGGGTAGACTTAGTGAGATTGGCTGCTTCAACTGTCCAATTACCTGTGTCTGATCATAGCCAACTGTCTGATTACACTGTCCGATTACAACTCTTCAAAATGATTAGCGAAAAAGAAAACAGTGACCCATCCAGCTGGAGCTTTTATCAGTTTCTGTAGCATGAAATGACTAGTGGTAGTTCAACTCTTCCAGAATGTTATTATGAGAAATAACTAGAGTGGAGAACTTATTAAAAAAGTCATGATCAAAAACAGAAGAAATCTCTAAAAAAATCCAAGAAGTCTACACCTTCATTATGAAATATCTATGTGATAACTTCTTTATAATATCTTTACAAATAACTACTTAAAGTTCCACAAGGATTTATTCACCTCAGTTCTCTGAGAAAAAGTAGCTGAGCTATTATTGCCCACCATCTTACCTTTGTGATTTACATGGCACCCCTCTGTGCCAAACTGATCCAGTTTCACTCCATTTACTGATTGATTAATATTTCTATAGCTCATTCCACCCAATATGTATAAACAGGATACTTGTGAAATGCATTACTAATTTCAAATTATTCTTAGAGGAAAATCTCTAGAACAATCCATGTAGTATAATTATTTAAATAGGATACTTGTGAAATACAATACTAATGATAAATCATTTGGATCAATATCAGTATCTGGGCAACTGCCCACCTACCCCTCCCCTAA